GGCCACTGCACTCCAGTCTGGGCAACAGAGTAAGACTCCAACTCAAAAAAAAACCAACAACAATAAAAAGCAACTAGGGCAGAGAGCCACCCCCAAAGGATCTCCTTAGAGAGCCCACCGTTGGTTCTACCATGAAGAAACATTACATGAAAATAATGAAGTCCAACGTGGTGGCTCATGCCTGTAATCCCAGCACTCTGGGAAGCTAAGACGGGAGAATCCCTTGAGACCAGAAGTTCAAAACCAGCCTGGGCAACATAGCAAGATATTGTCTCTGTGAAAAATCACAAAAAATTTAGTAAGGCGAGTTGGTGCATGCCTGTAGTCCCAGCTATTCTGGAGGCTGACATGTAAGGATCATCTGAGCCCAGGAGGTCGAGGCTGCCGTGAGCCATGATCGTGCCACTATACTCCAGCCTGGGCAACAGAGTGAGACCTCAACACACACACACACAAAAAGAATGTCAAGTCAAGTCAGAGACTCCTCATCATGATCTGGATAGAGAACCCAAGAGTCAGAACAGCAAGCGCTAAATGGAACAGACCAGAGGGCTGTCCCCTCCATGCTAAGGACAGCCCTGGAGATAACAGGGTTAATATAAAGTAATTTATGTGTAACATACAAATACATAGTCTCTTGCACACTGAAAAATATGTGCTCTTTTCTTTTTAGCTTGTCACTTCTTCCAGCAAAAAAGAATCTGTTATTTGCAATAGCTGCACATTCAAAACCCCAATCTCACAGCCCTCCGACCAATCACTGGCTTCTCTTGCAGACATGGTATACCCACGTTGCTGATAATCAAACATCCAGAAAGCCTTTCTTCAGCCCACCTGATGCTGCCCACATAGCTCAGGGATGGGGAACGAGCTGCATGCTGTCTGAAGGTTGGGTCTTCCGGCATCTATCAGGAAGCACTGTGCCAGCCCAGCATCCTGTAGATCCTGCCCTCACCGTCTCTTCTCGTGTTTTAGGCATGTTTGGGTGTGTGTGCACTAATCCCCTCTTTAGACTGGTACGCTCCCTGTGGGACAGGGCCTGGTGACTCTGATTCTCCTCTCAAACCCCATCAGTCACCCCAGAAGCACTCACTACAAAGTTCTTTCTCACAAGGAGAGATAAGGTTCCCCGTGTGATTTGGGTACTTGCCTGTCTATCCTCCAAGGAACCTGCAATTCCCAACTTTCCCCAAAAATTAAGTGCCAGAAACACGGAAAATCAACAACTACCTGGGTCAGCTTCAGGATGCTCCTGGCTCTCTGGCCGACAATACTTCCCGAAGGCCTCCTCCTTGGGGATGTCGGGATAGAGATAGACCAGCGGTGACACCAGGATGTTGGTGGCATCCATGATCTTATAGCCCATGATGATCTCGGCAAATGACATGTTGTTCAGCTGCTGCTTGGTGTACGGCTCCACCGACTGGATCTGGGTCTTGCCTGTCAAGGGCAATGGGAAAGAGGGAGACAGGAACCTTTCACTAGGGAATCTCAGAGAAAATGACCCATTGTCTCCTCGAGGGGGAAAGGCCTATGCCAGCCTCGCACTTGACAACCCGAGTGTCCTGTCCAGTGGCCTGGCACTGCCAAAACGTTCAGACTGGCATCTAATTAGAAGAGGCTACCAGGTGGGTCACAGGTAACACACGTGAATATAATTACTTGCACGAGACACATTAACAGGGAACGCAGAAAAAGAGGTGAAGAAATTTAAATTGCAAATTTCTAGACAAATTGCCCCTGGAGCAAGCAAAACAAACTGCAAAGTGCAAAACAGGCCCTCAGCTGGAAGAAGTCAGAGAAAAACCGTCACCAAAATGCGTTTCACAAGTCTAGGAGGCAGGAGCGGCCGAGGCCACTGTCTCTGCCCACTAGGGGGCAGTCGGTGCTCGGAACTGGGGGCACCGCGAGGCTGCAGCAACCGCCAGCAGGGCGGGAGGCACGCTCACCGCTGATGTCCTTCTCCACCCAGGTGAAGGTGACGCCTCCTTCTTTGCTGCTTTCGCTGAACCTCAGCAGGAAGGTGCCTGGAGGCTTGGTGCTCAAGATGGCGCGCTCCCGCTCCTTACTGATGAAGCCCATGATGTACCTGGAGCCCGAGAGAGGAGCAGCGTGGTTAGGGCCAAAGGACATCCCCGGCAGGGCCTGCAGAGAGCTGGGGGCTTGGGTCCACCCAGACAGAAGAGTTCCAGCCTACCCTTCATTCCAGAGGGCCAGGATGTACTTTTTTACAAGGTCAATGATGTTGTCCAGCCAGACCCAGAAGGAGAAGCCCTTGCCAGCCATGTTTTCCTGGGGAGAACAACGGG